AAAAAAAAAAAAAAAAAAAGATACACAAAAGTTTCTAAAACAACATGATACAGAACCCAAGATTCAGTCTTTTTTTCTAAAGATAATGAGCAGGGGCCCTTTCCCCTTCTTCTCGCAAGAAGAGGACCAAAATGTTTTCCCATCTTCAAAACCCAATCTTTGACGCCCTCTACTGCGAGGAGGAGCGTTTTGATGATGGGTTTGTCCTCAAAGACCCAGAAACTAGCGATTTGTACCCGATTCAGAAAACCCCTTTTGCCCTCTTCGAGCACGACCTCGTATGGGAAGACGACGAGCTTGCCCGTCTCTTGTCGGAGGAGAAGAAACAGGCTCGCCTGATTCGTGACGCGATAGAGTCAGATGGGTGTCTGAAAATGTCGAGGGATGAGGCCGTTAAGTGGATGCTCAAGGTGATTGGGCATTACGGGTTCGGCGCGTTGACCGCCGTCTTGGCCGTTGACTATTTCGATCGATTCATTGCAAGCATTTGCTTCCAGAGGGACAAGCCTTGGATGGGTCAGTTGGCCGCCGTTGCCTGCCTTTCGATTGCTGCCAAGGTCGAGGAAACTCAAGTTCCTCTCTTGCTAGACCTACAAGTATGTTCTTTTCGTCTATTTGTTTGTTTATTTTTTGTAGCAGTGTGGGGCAAATTTGATTGAGGATTTTATCTGGGGTTGTTATTGTTTTTTTTAGTAAGTTTTTGCTGGGATTTTGTTATAGGTGGAGGAGTCTAAGTATTTGTTTGAAGCAAAAACCATTCAGAGAATGGAGCTTTTGGTTCTGTCTACACTTAAATGGAAAATGAACCCGGTGACCCCAATGTCGTATTTTGACCACATTGGGAGGAGATTTGGGCTGATAAAGAACCTGCATTGGGAATTCTTGAGGAGGTGTGAGAGTGTGATCCTCTCAATCATCACTGGTACATCACGTATCGCTTTATTCGGATGATTTATTGTCTATCGATTCTCAATCTATTCGCTTCGTGTATTGTACTTTCTAATATATTTCTGCATAATTTTGTAGATTGTAGGATGGCCCATTACCCTCCTTCTGTCATTGCTTGTGCCTCAATGATTCATGTGATTAGAGATATTGAAACCGATGATTATCTCGAATACGAGAGTCAGATCATAAACGTGCTAGAAACCTGCAAGGTTGGATTGTTAAATTTTATCTTAAATTTCATAAAGGTAAAACAAGAAGTAGATCAATTCGGTAAAAACTCACATTCTTGAACACGAATGATATCATCAGGAAAAGATTGATGGCTGCCTCAAGCTTATCATGGAGGTCTTAGATGATCCTGGCCGTAGATCTTACGGCAAGCGCAAGCACATTTCTATCCCTGGCAGCCCGAGTGGGGTGATCGATGCCTATTTCAGCTCAGATAGCTCGGTCGACTCGTGGGCTGTCGGGTCATCTGTTTCATCATCTCCCGAGCCGGTGTTCAAGAAGAGCAGAGCACAGGATCAGCACATGAGGCTGGCCCCACTAAGCAGCTTCTCCGGTTGGCAATCCTAATCGCACTTCGGTCTCGCATTATTTTTTTTTTTTCTTTTCAATTAACTTATTTATATGATATTGGCGATGCTACTCCCGTGATTTTTATTTACTATGCTGCAACAATTCGTGGAATAATTTGGTGCAATTTATGTGAGTGACTGTGTTGGTATGGTTCTGTAATTTTCTTGCCAAATCCCATATGATGGATTCGATATGTTTTGGCAAACTTGAATCTTATCTATCGTCCCCTGTTTGATTGGGGATCGAAGTTGAGATTGGAGGAGACGACATTATTGAGAAACAAAAGTTCTGCTTGAGACGCGTTATTTCATCTTTCGTTTTCATTCTCCTTTCTTTCTCTTCGTGCTTTTGCATTTGCTCGAAGCGAGAGTTTCACCACGAAACCGTTGTGGGCTGAACGATTTTATTTAGAACCCGAAATCGGGGACTTTCGGGCATTGAGAATCTAATGTAGGCCACACTATGAAGGCCTTCTTCAAGACTTTCTTGTTCGCTCTTATAATCATCATATTACTTTTCTTTTCAAATGTCATAATTTAGTATATTTATTTACATATATCTAGGTTTTGATCAAGAATGAGGGACAAGGGTGGGTTTGTCCCAAGCATTTGGTTGTTTTTGCTGAAAGGAGGAAATTCATGAATTAAGAAAGGTTTCCAATGTAGGGACAGGTTGGCAATGGACTTTGTGCTTCTTAAATTGTTTTACATATTTTTTATTTATTTATTTATTTATTTAAATATTATTATTTGTTTGTTAGGTGTCTTGATGAAAGGACCTTAGCTTGTCCTCAAGTGGGATTTGAAATGCTAGGTTTCATACTATTTTTTCTTCCTTGGATTTGGGCCTAAATGACAAAATAATTCTCCCTTGTGCATAAGTTATCTTTAGTGCCTTAAAATTTTCTAGTGTGTTTTGCTTAGGTTATCATTATACCTTAGGATTTAGGATATCAACAAGATTCTATACTGTTTAACTCTAAACTCTAAATTTAACTGTGCTTAGCCAAGTGGTTTAAGTTTGAGGTTATTTTTTTTAATCTGTATTTTTTAGTGCTGCAATATGAAACGAAATGACTATTTCATGAGTTTGGCGTTTTTTTGATGATCGACTCGAGTTTGAGCTCGTTTACAGTTGATTAGCCTAGCCGAGACTTCAGAATAAGGGCTTTTATGTAATTTCTCGACACTTCTTGCTTAACTCTGGTAAGTTAAGGTTCGAGTTCTACTCGTTAATATTAATAAACTGGCCAAATTTGAGCTTGTTTATTGGCTTTGCTCTATAAAGGCAGTGTAGGTTATCAAATTTTAAATTTATTATTTAGATACAATAGTGTATATATAAATATATATATATATATTTTTTAATATCATATCTGATTTTAGTTTGTTGTTTTTATTGAAAATGGTTGGTGATATATAGGACCATGCAATGGTACAGATAAGTTTTACAGTTTTGGACCAATGGACAATTGCACAACAACTATTGAATGTTTGATTCCGACAGGTTAAATATAACCTATGAGAAATAAACTAAGGTAGTTTTGGATATTTTTTTTTTTTTTTTTAAAGGTCATTTTGTATTTTGAAACCAATAAAAATCTTATTTTTTGTGTTAGTAAGTTGCAAATTTCATCATTACAAGCAACACTTGAAACTAATATTTGGGATTTTCAGGCAATAATTTTTAGAGAAATGTTATGGTCCCGTTATGCAAACATCCCGTGTGGGTTTGTAACCGTTAGGTATATTTATTTAACGGTCACAAATTCCAAAGGGATGATTCCATATCGGGACCGTAGCATTTCTCTAAATTTTAATCGATAACTACTTAAATGCACCAATTGATGGATAAATTCTTCTGGAACTGAAAATGAATCGACAGTGAAAAATATGGATAGCTGTGGTAGAAAAATATACTGTTAATAAGTTGAGCATTCATTACGTGGGGATAGATTGTCTTTTGACCCCGTTGAGATTTAGTGAAAAAAAAAAAA